CTGAGGATTGCAGTGATCTATCGGCCTCCTGGACCGGTGTCCCGCTTTTTTGATGATTTCTCCGCCTGGCTACCCTACTTTCTCTCCTCTGAACTACCCACTATCATTCTCGGAGATATCCCTATTAATGTCAACAACCCGGCTACATCCCAACTCTTCAACTTAACCTCATCTTTTGCATTAGCACAATGTATGCAGTCCTCCACTCACTCTGATGGGAATACATTAGACCTTGTTTTCTCCCGTCTTTGCACTCCCTACAACCTCACAAACACCCCCTTTCCTCTGTCTGATCACAATCTCATCACCTTCACAGTGTCCTCGTCTTCTAACACCTATCCCTCCAAGCAGCAAACAATTACCCACAGAAACCTTCACAACTTGAACCCTGCTCCTTTCCACTCTGCAACTGACCAACTCTATGACAGAATCTCTCCCCTGTCCTGCCCTAACCTGGCCACTGCTGTCTATAACAGTTCGCTTTCATCCACATTAGACTCACTTGCTCCTTTAACAACACAAAGCATCAGGCCCAACCATTACAACCTTGGCAGAATGACGACACCAGAAATCTTAAATGACATAGCCATGCGCTGGAGCGATAGTGGCCTAAAACTAAATCTCAACAAGCATTCACTCTATATAAATCTGCTTTCTTAACATACAATTCCTCCCTTCATGCTGCCAAACAAGCCTACTTTGTCACTCTTAATAATACCTTGTCATCCAGTCCTCGTCGTCTCTTCTCTACTTTTAACTCTCTACTTTCTCCACCTCCACCCAGTACCTCACTCACTGCTCACGAGATTGCAAATCATTTCAAAAACTAGATTGACGCAATTCATAGGGGCATGCCAATGCACAATGCACAGACATCCATCCCACTTAGCATACCTTATACTAAACCTCCCTCAACACTTTCCTCTTTTGACCTTGCTACTATCGAAGAGGTCACTAAGGTTTTCTCAGAAGCCCGTCTCACTACCTGCCCCCTGGATCCTGTCCCCTCACAACTACTACGGTCACCCTTTTCTTCCATCCTATGCTCCATCACTCATATCTTCAATCTTTCCCTCTCTGCTGGTGCCTTCCCCTCCCCTCTAAAGCATGCGCACATCACTCCCATACCTAAAAAGTCCTCCCTGGACCCCACCAACCTGAACAACTTATGACCCATCTTCCTGATGCCATTTACCTCTAAACTCCTAGAACGCTTAGTCTACAATCGCCTGAGCTCCTACCTCACTGACAACAACCTTCTTGACCCTCTACAGTGTGGATTTCGCTCACTACATTCCACTGAAACTGCCCTACTAAAACTCACTAATGATCTACTAACAGCTAAAACCAATGGCCACTACTCCATACTCTTACTACTTGACCTCTCTGCGGCTTTTGATACTGTTGACCATCCCCTCCTCCTAAAAAAACTCCACTCTCTTGGCCTCAGAGACTCTGCTCTCTCCTGGTTCTCCTACCTATCGCAGCGCTCCTTCAGCGTTACCTATAACGCTGCCTCCTCCCTCTTTCTGTAGGGGTCCCTCAAGGTTCTGTCCTTGGACCCCTTCTCTTCTCCATCTACACCTTCTCCCTTGGTCACTTGATAAACTCCCATGGTTTTAAGTACCATCTCTATGCTGATGACACACAAATCTATCTTTCTACCCCTCACCTCTTTAGTCTCCTCTCGCATTGCTAACCTACTAAGTGACAAATCGGCATGGATTTCACTCCACTTCCTCAAACTTAATCTTTCCAAAACTGATCTCATACTATTCTCTCCAGTCCATGCCCCCTCCCCTGATTTCTCCATCAAGATCAATAACGCAATCATCAGTCCCCTCCCCTCATGCCAGGGTACTAGGTGTAATCCTAGACTCCCATCTGTCCTTTCAGTCCCAAATCCATTCACTGTCCAAATCTTGTAGACTTCACCTCCGCAACATCTCCAACATACGCCAGTTCCTAACCTCGGAAACCACTAAGCAACGTATTCACTCCCTTGTTATATCTCGCCTTGACTATTGTAACTCCCTCCTACCTAATCGCAGGCTATCCCTTCTTCAGTCTTTCATGAACGCTGCTGCCAGACTCATCCACCTTACTAACCATTCTGTATCTGCCACCCCTCTCTGCCAATCCCTCCAGTGACTTTCCATTGCCCAATGGATAAAATTCAAACATTAACAATAACGTATAAAGCCATTTATAACTCTGCCCCAAATTATATCACAGATCTTGTCTCTAAATATCACCCAAACCGTCCTCTCCGCTCCTCGCATGACCTCCTACTCTCTAGCTCCCTTGTCTCCTCCTCCCATGCTCATCTCCAGGACTCTAGAGCTTCCCCAATCCTCTGGAACTCTCTACCCCCCCAATTTATCAGACTATTGCATACTCTGTTCACTTTTAGGCGATCTATGAAAACCTATCTCTTCAGGGAAGCCTATCCTGCCCTCAGCTAATACTAGAATCTTCTACTCTTCCAACCAGTCCATCCCCCACCGTTACTACCTTTTGTACCACTAGCCCCTCCCTCCTAGATTGTAAGCTCCAAGGAGCAGGGCCCTCCTATCCCTCTTGTGTTGAACTGTATTGTTGCTGTATTGTCTCCCGTTATATTGTAAAGCGCTGAGCAAACTGTTGGCGTTATATAAATCCTGTATAATAATAATAATAATGAGTATCTCTGTACACTGATAATGAACACTGCGCTCTGCATAATGATGACGAGTATCTCTATACACTGATAGTGAACACTGCGGTCTGTATAATGATGACGGGTATCTCTATACACTTTTAGTGGAGGCGCATATATACCCCTTGGAACAGCAGGCATATGGTGGTTTGGTAAGGTGTACTACTTTATGGGACTGGATGCATAGATGTTAATCACGTGGGAATTTAAAGTGATACTATAGGTTCACATTTTTTTTTTTTAAATAACAAAGTTGTTATACTTACCTGCTCTGTGCAATGGGTTTGTACAGAGCAGCCCCGATCCTCCTCTTCTCAGGTCTCTCACTAGCACTCTTGGCTCCTCCCCTCTGCTGAGTGCTGCCAGAGCAAGCTGCTTGCTCTGGTGGCACTTGTGCATGCTCACTCCCAAGCCACCCCTATGTGTCTCTCCTCACTGGCTGTGATTGCCAGCAGAGGGAGCCTATAGAGAGGGAGAGACCCGGGAGAGCTTCTGCTCTTGTGCACATTGCTGGATCGAGATCAGGCTCAGGTACGTATTGGTGGGGAGGGAAGGTGAGGGGGGAGCTGAAGCTTTTTTACATTCATGCATTAAATGCATGAAGGTAAACAAACCTTCAGCCTTTAGAGCCACTTTCGTGATTTTTTGTACTAAGAATTTCACCTAAATGTGCGCGCAATTATTGTGGAATATTATTTGCATAAAAAATGTGTTACACTATCATAGAATTTGTTATTTGGGTATTTTAATATTGAGGATTCCAACATTGAAAATTTTAGTGGAAAGCAGTGAAAGAGAATATATGAGATTTTACATTTACTAAGAGTAGATAGGACAAGGGGGATTGTAGAGAGCCCAGGGTGTTTTGCGGCACAAACACAATTACTGCATGTGAGCACAATAATTTTTGTTTGTGATTTTTAATAAATTAGAGCATACTACACTATATTCTTTTACCTTTTTGTCTTGTTTTTTTACAATCATTGGATATAACAGCACCTTGTGGATGGTGGAGAGATAAATAAATAAAGACAAGGCACACGTTAATGTTTTTATGATCACACTTTATTTTGACCCATACACATGAAGGGTCATTGCATCTGGTGAGAGTCTAAAGATCCTGAGGATTATAATATATATTGGGACATTGGACAGATTTTATTCTAGCACTGGTTTTGATGTAACATACATTTGTATTAATAGGAGTAGGGCCACCTTACATAGGTGGTTAGTGGAGAATGCTCCCTTACATTGGTGGTCAGTATAAAAGGGTTGCCTAAAATTGCTTCTTAGTGGGAGAAGGGCATCATTACATTGGTAATTAGTAGGGAAAGGGTCATCTTATGTTGGTGGACAGTGCCACCCTACATTGGTGGTCAATGGAGATGGGCCACCTTTCATTGGTATCACTTTGAGAATGGCCCCTTTACATTGGTGTTCACCTTCATTGGTGGTGAGTGGCGATGGGCCACCTTACATTGATATTGGTGAGAGAGGTGCCTTCTTAAATTGGCAGTCAATGGTTACTTTGGTTACTTACCTCAAGCAGGAGTTGTAGAGAAGACTGAGATGCTACTACTGGCACTTCTAAATGATATTGACACAAAAACTAGGTTTGATCCTTTAGGAAAAGGATCAATGCCCCAAAGAGTAGGGTTGGAGTCATGTGGAAGTGTGGAAGAAATTTAATGAAAGTCCACCAATGAGTATCTAGTCTCTGAAGTCCTGGGGTCCTTTACAAGTAAGAGGGGCCCGTTTCTGTAATAGATCCCTGGACATCAGAGGACCTGCACAGTGAAACTGCACAGATGGTAGATCACAAAAGGTCCATTCCTGCTATTTGGTGAAATTACATGAGCTGTAAAGATCAAAGAATGCTGAAAGATCCATTTTACAAGCTTGTATCATTAATAGTCCTGAGTGATTTATGAACATGACTGTTTTAGCAAGACTAGAAAGTAAATCTGTTACAGACTGGCACAAAAAACAAAGACACTTCTTGCAGAAGGTCAGATCTGTACATGAAAATGTCACTCAAAGAGCTACATTGGGTCTTCCAGTCATCGCACTCAAAATATTATTTCAACCACCTGTTTTGATTTATGATCATATAGACTTCAACAGATTGAAATGGAAAATAAAAAAATACTTCTAGCAGGTTTCTGAATTAACACTGAGCAAAGAGAGTTACAGATGTATAAAGGATAGAAACTCATAGCAACCAATCAAAATAAGTGCATTTTAGGTAAAACAACATGAATTTAAATTTTTTGAAAATTCAGAGAAATATCAGAACATCTCAACTGCATAACTGTTTCAGGTCAGTGACTGAAGCCAGAAGATAAGTATATTGCAGCCAGATGGTAAGTACACTATATTATCAAAAGTATTAGGACACCCCTCCAAATCATTGGATTCAGGTGTTCCAATCACCTCCATTGCCACAGGTATATAAAATCAAGCACTCAGGCATGCAGACTGCTTCTACAAACATTTGTGAAAGAGTGGGTCACTCTCAGGAGCTCAGTGAATTCCACCTGCGCAATAAGTCAGTGCTCATCAGTGCCTCGTCCCAGTGCCCATCAGTGCCACATATCAGTGCATACCAGTGCACATCAATGCCACATATCAGTGCCCAAATGAGCTGCCTTTCAATGTCACCCATCAGTGCCAGTCAGTGCCATCTATCAATGCCAATCAGTGCCACCTATCAGTGCTGCCAATCAGTGCCACCTATCAGTGCCAGTCAGTGTCGCCTATCAATGCGCATCAGTGCCGCCTATTAGTGCCAGTCAGTGCCGCCTATCAGTGCCAGTCAGTGCCGCCTAACAGTGCCAGTCAGTGCCGCCTAACAGTGCCACCTATCAGTGCCATATATCAGTGTCATGTATCAGTGCTGCCTATCAGTGCCACCTATCAGTGTCCATCAGTGCAGCCTATCAGTGCCCATCACTGCAGCCTCATTAGCACACATCAGTGAAGGAGAAAAATCACTTATTTACAAAATTGTATAACAAAAACCTTTTTTTTTCAAAATTTTCAGTGGTTTTTGGTTTGTTTAGGAAAAAATTAAAATCCCAGAGGTGATTAAATACCACCAAAATAAAGCTCTATCTGTCTCAAAAAAATTATAAAAATTTCATATGGGTACAGTGTTGCATGACCGCGCAATTGTCATTCAAAGTATGAGAGCGCTGAAAGCTGGAAATTGGCCTGGGCAGGAAGGGGGTATAAGTGCCCTGTAGGCTAGTGGTTAAATAGCATGTCTGGGGGGTGCCTTAGAACTGCTTGTGAAGTGGCGCACGTGTACAGTGTACAAAAGCAAAAGTGATATTTAATTTGCCAGGCACTAAATGACAGTTACCTGCAACATTGTTCTGTTTGTAAAGAAACCAGCTGGGGATAACCATCCTAGATGAGGGTCTGGTTGGAAGTGGGATGTGGGATTCTGGTTGCTAGGACACTGGACTGCCTCTTAGCAACCAAATACACTATGTGGCCTTGGCAACCAATGATGCTAGTGACCAGCACAGTGGAAAGTTGTTACTTAATGGCAGTAGTAAAAGACCAAATAGTTGACCTGGATTGCAAACTTCATTGTGAACCTTGCATTGACAAGAACCTGGACTCCATTTGTGTTTATAAAGACTCTTCAGAAGGTCTTTTTTAACTATATAATACAGCAACTCCTGACTGTCAAGATGACAAATGTGGTTGTGTGGGGAAGCAATGTCTCTTCAACGTCTCCTTAAAACAAGCAAATATGATATACTTTCCTATATATTTACTAATACTAGCAGCATAAGAAATAAAAATAGTCAATGTTTATTGAGAGAGTGAAGCTCCACTTTAGTTCCACTGGTTCAGCCAAGTAGCATTGGCCCCAGAACTATGCAGGCACCATCAAATGGGATGACAGTGAATTACAGCTCAAGATACCCCTAGCAACCTATGGAGGAACCCTAGGATTGAGAAAGGCAGCCTTGAACTTTCAAAGACCCCAAAAGCTTGCCCTGAAAATGAAACTATGAATACTATAGCCAGTTCTCATCTGTATTGTTTCAGAGGATAATACTCATGTGATACCTAAACCTTAAGGATCTTTTGATGGCTGGAGCAGATAACACTGTTTTATTACTTACCTGCTGGTTTTTGTTTGAAGCATGAAGTTATTATTAAGACTACATTGGTGTCCTTAATGTAGTACTATCCCCTCATTGGCCGCTGAGTAATGTTTGGGTTCCCTGTCTTGCCTGACCCCGCTCTAAAAGCCCAACCCCTGCTGACACCCCGTTAAACCTCTGGCTGTAACCATACAATAGACTCACACAGTTTAGAGTGAACTGATATTTTTGTTGTATCGTCAAATGTAAGCACAGTAAGGCAACAAAAAAATATGTGCATGAAATAACAGTTATCACTCTTAATAACTTCAAATATGGGTCACAACACAGCACAATCTCAATCAATTATAGATGTCCTACAATTCATAATTTAAACAGTAGCCCCAGTGATATTTATGAGATATTTTTTTTCCCAGTGAGCAAAGAAAAACTACAAAACAGAGATGCTAGGCCAATGTCCCTTTAAACTACAGTATCTTATCTTTTTACCTTTATGCATTCTATTTGCACACCTTCTGTGTGCAGATCTCTCCCCAGCTCCCCCTAATACTTACCTGAGCCCAATCTCGATCCAGTGATGTGCATGAGAGCAGCTGCTCTTCCTGCTTTCCCGCTCCTATTGGCTCCCTCTGCTGTCAATCACAGCCAGTGAGGCGGGAGAGGGGATAAGGCTGAGCCACGCTCTGTGTATCTATGGACACAGAGAGCAGAGCTCAGGAGCAAGTATGACCAAGTGCCCCAATATTAAGCAGCTTGGTGGGGGGGGCACTCAGCAGGGGAAAGGAGCCAAGAGCACTGGCAGAAGACCCAAGAAGAGGATGGTCGGGGCTACTCCGTGCAAAACCACTGCACAGAACAGGTAAGTAAGTATTGTTTGCTATTCTCCTTCTATCAGAATGCTTCTTGTTTGAACATTACCTTATTGGTTTCTAATGATGCACAGGGCATTGTCAGCAGCTGATACCATGCCAAAATCAGGTACAGAATTGCTTACATTTTCAAAAATAAATGTAATAATGTATTTATTAATACAGAGCTGCATTAATGTGTGTCTCTTAAATCTGCCTGGAGATCATCTTGAATGGTTTGAGACATTCAAAATCTTTTGTGTGGATCAGCTGTCATTTGTACATTGTTACATTTATTGTGCTGTCTTTAATAAAGTAACGTGTTGTTTGTAATAAAGTTACTGATGTATAACATGTTTATGTGCGTGTCTTTTGTTTTTTACTTTTTAAATGGCTCTAACAAGGTTATAATAAATTATGACCACAACCCTTTAATAATTTCCTGCCTGAGTGTTTGGGGTAAAAAAAAATGCCAAATGATGCCTAAATGAATACAACATGGCCTCTAACTAAGCAGTGTCAAGTTTCATCAATAAAACAAAGAACAATTAAAAGTATTATTTGAGAAACGTGTAGTTAACGTTACTTTACACAGTCACATAATGAGAAATTCATGTGGGGATTTGTAAATATTGTTTTTGTGGTGGGAAAGAATGGCATCAGACATCATGGTCCTCTTTGATCTCCTTGTAAGTGTTTACCTCTTTCTCTGGCTGGCACAGATTATTTCTCTGGGAGCTGCATCTGCCTTCCACCGCTCAGGAACAGACGCCCTCCCATGTCATTGTGCGTTAAACCCCAGTGTGCATTGTGTCATTAAACAAGACCCCCTGTTGGATTTTAATTGCTCTGCTAAACTGAAGAAATTACAGACATTTTCTATCTCAGCAAAAACAACAACATAATAATCTCTGGGTTTTGTCTGTAGACCGCAGGGGATAAAAATAATTTTACATTATTGTATTTTTGTCTCAGGAAAGTAAAGTGCTATTCAACGCTCCCAGTGTGCTTTAAGGTGAAACTCTACTTTTCAGTTTTTGGTGAAACACTCTAGGTCAGTTACAGTATGTACACTGCTTGGATTTTAGCAAACTTAAATAAGTGCAATCTTGTGACCCAGGAAAGACTTATGGCCAAAAAAGCTTTTTTCTTTTTTAAAGCCTAACTCGCCAACTATTTCCTTTACTCATACCTGCGGTCGCCATCAGCTGTGCCCACACAAATCATCCCAGGGTGAAGATGACAAACTGTGCCCACCCCCCCTCTCCTCCAATGTGGGAACCCCAATTGTCTTCTGGGTTCCATGATACTAGCGCTACAGTGCCCCTTCAGTTTGTCTGACAGGGTGTTCCCTGGCTCTAAAGTCAGTCCTCTCTCTGGGGACCGGTGAGGTCAAGGAATCCTTCTTTCAAATCCAACCTAGAGGTAGGCCCTTTCCCACTGGACCCCCTCCTAGGCTCCTGCATCCCACCCTTTTGTTCCATCTTCCACCCAAACTCTCCTGCTGCTGAGCATGCTCAGTCACATGTACTACTGCCTGGGGATTAGCTAGAGTCCCTTATGTGTGCAGATCAGCCCCTCTTCACCCCCCACCCACTGCCTTCTAGAAACTTCTCAAGTGTCTAGGGCAGGGGAAGGTATCAGAAAACTGATCTGCAGAGCCCTCAGCCCTGACCTGAAATAACCTGGCTGACTCACACCCAGGCTGACTCATGCCCAGGCTGCTGTCCAGTCTTCCTCTATAGAAAAAAAAGACTAGCGAGCTCCCCCTTGCTAACTAGAAGGGTGCTACAAAAGGATGGAAGGGGGTGAGAGTGGGCTCTCAGCTCAGTTGAATGCACTCTACTGGCTATTGCCCCGTTTTACCCCCCAACATATAAAGATGCTGCCCCTCCCCTAGTCCCAGCCCCGGCTGTCAGTGCTTAATAAACTGTGTTTAGCATCATCTACATACTATATGCAAATCGATTTTGAAAATATATGGAATGTTTGAGGCACAAAAATATTTTGTATAAAACATATTTGTTTCTTTTATTAAATAGTTCTCTGTAAGGTATAAATTGATTGTTTGTTTACAAAATTACTTAAATCACAGGACAAAACAATATAATATAACGCCCATATTTTTATCTTTCAGCAGAAAAACAGTACATCTTCATTAATCAGATGTAGTTACAAGATTATACGGCTCAACGTGTTTCTTGGACATAGTCCACTTCTTCAGGAGACAAATGTGCAACTGTTTTTGCAAATAATATTTTCTAAACAGAAAACAAAACACAATTATAATAAACAATAACAGTCATGTTGCCTAATATCTTCTGATAGGAAAAAGCCCCACACTGCAGTACCCCCAGGATAGGTATGGGAAAGAGGGGCCCAGAGTGAAGGCCAAACTGGGAGCACACCAACACAGATCCCTGGAACACAAAAAGTAATTGTCTATCTTATTATAAAGCAAATTAGATCTAAGTAATCAAGCAAGACAGAACAAACGCCATCCATAGTGTGTTCTTGTATTATATTATATCAGCTGATGCTTGAAAGTCCCCATCAGGTCACTATACCCACATGCAGAACATCCTATGGGGATAAAACATATATATAAGTAGATATGTATGACAACCAGTGCATGTCCTTGCTTGTCCACTGAACTGAAAGCAAATAAGTGGTTTTCACAAAACTCTAAACCGTTGCCACAGGCTAGGCTTTACAACAAAGGTGTATATACTCAACATTCTATTTGATGCAGCAACATAATTCTGATGCTGAAGACATCTACATCACAATTACTTTCAGAATCCTCCGGCGGCTATTTAACCAGCTATTTGTGGTTTTACATATAGTATGCATAGCTGTGTTCCAGCAGAGGAACAGGCACTTTCAACATTAAGTAACACTCAGAGTGCTGGGGTCAGGAGTAAGCAAGGCACAAAGTTTAGGGGTCAGGATTAATGCGGAACTTCACTCTCAGACAGCACTGAATATTAGTAAATCCTTATGCTGCGAGCATTAATAAATAGAAAGGAAAGTATATCATAT